TACAAATTATTTGTTTTATATAATTTACTTAATATTTTTATTAAACTAGTTACAAATAATATATTTAAAACAAAAATAACAAAAAATGATTTTTATAACTTCTTACAAATCAACATAATTATAAATATTTTACAAATAAATATTTCTTCAAATCTATTTAATTTACTCAAAACAAACATCTTTCTCCTATATTTCAAAAAATTATCAAAATCTTTTTAGCTTTCAAAACTTTTTATTTGAAGTTTTATAATATTCAAACTCAATATCAATATCACTACAATTATCTGAAACTATATATAAAGCTATAAATTATTTATTATATATTTTAATCTTCAACTATTTTTAACTTTACTTCATATAATTATAATAATATTACTTACTAACAAAACAAAAAACATAATCTTTTTCAAATATCTCAAAATTAATAACAAAATATTCTTGCTATCAATATTTAATTGCAAAAAAAATCACAAATTTTCTTATTTTTCAATGATTACAAATATTTATAATATAATATAAATTTTTTAAATTTCTCTATTATTTTACAAATTCATTATGAAAATATTAAAAACACAATCTATAAACACTATTTTATTCCAAATAAACATTATTAATATCTTTTCTATCCAATATACACTAACAAACATACAAAAAAATTTTCAATTCTAATTAAAAACTATTTTAAACTAATTAACAAAAATATCAATTAATAGAAATAATCTAATCTGAAAAAGCAAAGATAACTTTTAAATCCAACCTATTACTTTTCATATATATATTAATATTTTTCAAAAATATACTTATTCTAACTATACAATATTAATCTAAACTTTATAGTTTTCATTTCAAAATTCTTTTTAATACTTATTTAACAAAAGCATATCTTTATATAATATTTTCAAACATACTGTATATATTAATAATCTATGTCTATAATACAATACAAATTCAGAAACAACTTATTACTTATGAATCTGTAAAGAAATTCTAATAACACTAAAAAAAAATAATTAATAACATATAAATACTATTGAAAAAAAAATTTAAAAACAATAAAAACTTTAATAAAAAACAAATATAAAAACTATTTAATAATTGTATTATGTTTGTTAACAAAGGACTCTTCAGTATTTAATATTTATATAATAGTGGATTTTTCTATTGGATAATTAATACTAGACTACTTTCCAAAAAAATTTCTGTTATTCTGTTTTCTTTAGTATTTAGAAGTGATGTAACTTGTAGAGTTTCTGATAATTCTTCTATAAACGAGATATTAGAAGAGTTAACAAGATTGTCAATTAAGCTTGATTCTTTATCTGATTACTTAGTACTATTAAATATATCAAGTCTTCTTGCTTGAATAGATATAAGGTTTTGTTAATTTATATAATTGATAAGTATAGTGTTATATAATTCATTTTTTCTTCTTGAACTTATATTATCTATAGGGTTTGTATAGTCCAATAATTCTATTGATATATTATTATCAGAGCTGGGGCTGATAGATTTAATTGTGTTTTTAAATTTGTTATAATTAGAATCTGTAGTAACTGTATAGTGGAGATCATCTACTTGTATTATATTATTTGAGCTTTGTAGATCATTAATATTTGGAATTATATTATGCACAATACTTGTTATGCAAGTCTGTACTGCAGATATAAAAAGTATATACAGGTTATTACTATCCTTGATTAATTTAGAAGTATTTGTATGCTGTAAATTGTTAAATGGGGATAAGCTGCTTTAAGTTTTTTTAGGGATTTGAGATATTATTTTTTTCCCTCTAAATTTGTAAAAAGGTTTTGTTTTTAAATTTCTGATTTTTTATCCTAAACTAATATATTGGATAATATATGTGTTGATGTATTTACTATTTTTTTAAAGTTAAATTTGTTTTCATTTTGATTATATTAACTTGGTTTTAGAAAAGATGAAGAGTATAATTGAAGTTACTATCTAGCACCTTTTTTGTAATAGTTTTTCTTATATTTTGGGCCAGATTATTTCTCTTCTGATATGAGAAAAAGTCATTGAGATTGTTTTGGATGTTGCTTTTTATATTGTTGATAGTTATTGAAACTATTGCATATAGTTGTAAGAAATTTGAATTAGTACAGTAATTACTTGTTTGAAATTGATAAAAATGATATTTACTTGTGAAAAATTGTTATTGCTAGTTGAGTTTTGTAGAGATACTATCCAAAATCTGGAAAAGTCAGCTAAAGGTAAAATGAATACATGTTTTGCTAGTTGAGTGATTTGAATACTGTTTGAGTTGCTTTTCTTGTATACTACAGAAAAGAAATAATTATTAAGACTTATTGTTATAATGCCCAAAAGGATATAGAGTAAGTTTGAAAATTTGCCCTTGGAAGAAAAGCTTCCAAGAGTACTTGGTGTTTTGTTTTTTTAAAAAATTTTGTCAATTACTATAAAAGAAAATTTTTAGCAATGCAGAGATTTTTAGGAAAGGGTTTTTTTTATTAATATAGATATATGTATTTTTATATTTATTTATTATTTATTTTATGTTATATAAAGCCAACATATATAAAAAGATACTTTTTTAATCTTAATAAAGTCTTAGCTCTGTTGGCATTAAAACAATAATTGCACAAGTTCATTGTGTTTTAAAATCACTAACAATTTTATTTAGACTTTTATATAATCTATATATTAAATATTTACTTAACAAGTTTAGACTTTAACTTATTTTTTAAAATATAAGCAAAGTATAAAATGTAATTTATAAATCTAAACTTATTTATTTTATTTATAAGTTTTTATAATTTTTTTATCTATAATATATTATTTAATATTTATTAAAAATAGAATTTCTAGATTCAAAATCTAATATCATCCCTATCAAGTTTTATTTTCTCTAATACTAAGTATATATTTATATAGCTACTTGATACCATATAATAGGATGATATATTGTTTTAAACTTTTTTTATGTGGTTACTGAGTAGAACAAATTTGTATTTCCTGGCACACTTTTTTGCCAACATAGTCATTTTGACTTTATTTTTTGTAGAATGGTATTCATACGCTACTCTTCGGACAATTAATAATTTATAAATAAAATTAGAATTAATAACTTAACGTAATAAAATATTTACTTACAGACTAATAATAAGTAATTAAGTATAAAATAAATGTTATATTGAAGAATAAGTAATTGCATGATTTTAGAAAGAAACTCCGTCTTTACCGGCTAATCATAGAAACAAATCATTAATAATAAATAACGAAAGAAGAAACTTTGAGCTTACAGGCTTTTGCCATAAACGATATACAGCATAATAATAAAAAGATTGGCTAAATAGAATTACCACAGAACAACAATATTGTGTACAACAATTAAATATTTAACACTTATTAGCTATTATTAAAATTTAATAACAATATCAATAATTAATAATGCGCAATTGGATCAATAGATTAAAAGTAAAAAAGTACACTTAATGACTAATAATTTAATATGTACATTATAAGATTCTTGTTATTGGAAGAACAAAGTATAGTGTAATAAAATCATAAAATTCGTGCTTACCGGCTAATGATTTAACAGAGGATGTTTATTCAAAGTAATAATATGTAAGATTAATTGGTAGTAAAACATATTACTTACTAGCTGATAATTATTAAAATAAAATTCTTATAATTAGTTAAATGCATAATGTAATAAATATGCACACAAGCTATTTATATTTAATGTTCGAAAAATAATTAATAATGTACGAATAGTAAATATAAAGTAAGTTATACTCATATCCTAACAATTTAATAAGCAGGATTCTTATTAAAGAAGAACAATAACTAGACTTCGTGTTTACCAACTAATAATTTAATGAAGAAATGTTTTCAAAAGTAAAAATATGCAAGATAAATTAATAATAAAACGTAAAAATTTTGTACTTACTGACTAATAATTTAGCTGATATTAAAATTAGACAAACAATTCAAATGCCTAAGATAATAAATATACTGATAAGCTAATAATATTTAATGTTCGAAAATAATTAATAATGTACAAATACAGTAGTTAAATATAAAGTAAATTTATACTTAAATCCTAATAATTTAACAAGCATGAATTTTTATTGAAGTAGAACAAATATTATTTAAAAGCAAACACAAACTTGTTTACAGAGTGAATAGTTTTTCGCTTGTCTACACATTATCCCAGTATTATCAGTTATAGTAAAGCCCGCCGAAATTTATGTTGTTTGCATTCTGAGGTGCTAGTAATGTTTGTACAAAAAATGGCATTCGCTGCGTACTATAGTACTGCGCCGACTGTGACGTATGTGAAGATCACCTGTTTTTAGCTAGAATATGTATAAATTTGGTAAGTTTTCATACGTATGGTATTTTTTTTTGAACAGATTATGTAAACAGAAACTGTGACTTTATATACAAAAATTAATGAAAGAAACGTCCTTTAACAAGTACTTACTGGAAAATCTGTTTTAAATCCTGGCTTAACTCTCGATTTACACGTTTGCAGGTATACCACCGATATCATGGCATTTTGTTTTGTGGTGGGAATCGACGTCAATAGCACCTTTCAAGTTGAAGGCCAGGCAGGAATGAGTATTTCAAAACTCCGGGAAGTAATCTATGAGAAGAATAAGAACGATTTCAAAACTTTTGATGCAAACAAGTTAAATCTATGGAAGGTGGATATTCCTGGTGATGCAGAAAACGATAAATTCGTTAAACTGAGAACACTTGAAAGCAGATCTCATAATGAAGATACTATTATACAAGAGCTTGGAGGACAAAAGTTGACTCCATTTGATGATTTTGGTGACATTTTAGCGTATAGTGACTTGAAGAACATCTGCATCATCGTGCAGCCACCACGTAAGTATCTCTTTATATAAAGAATTTGTAAAAAGCTTAAGTATCAATTGCCAATGATAGGTGAGATTTCAAATATTTTACTTAACTCTTTATTTTACCAGCTAGTTTTGCCGAAAATACCTATGGCTAGGCTTGCTAATACTGACGAAATTAAAAATAAAGGTTCGTTACTTTGGATGTTTGGATTATTTGAAGGGCTTTTGCTTATGTTCACACTCTTGTTTTTAGTTATTATGGCCTTCCCACAAAATATAAATATTGAATCATTTGTCAATACACTCGCGCTGATTTGGAACATTGAGGTGGTAAAAAATGTCACTCCAAGTCCACAAAATGATCCGTGTGCTAAACTGAAGATGGAACCCTCTTTTTTCAAAATAAATTTACCCCGTGGCATAACCGAACAAACTTTCACAACGGTTGATCTATGCCTCCCTTCTTATAAATCCGAAACGAACTATCACAATCCCTTTTATAATGATCCACAATTCAAAGAAACAGTTTCTCTTGTGCAAAAAAAGATTGAAGACAATCCAAAAGACATAATTGTGCTCGCTGGGGTTTCAGGAGGTGGAAAAACATCGACAACATTTGGAATTGCTATGGAACGTTGGTCAATATATATTGATTTTTCTCCTACTGTGGGACAATATGGTAGCCATGCGGGGGCAGAACTTGGAGATATCAGGACTAAACAACCAAAGTTCGAACAGTATGATCAGCAAGATTATGCATACCGCAAGCTGAACACAATAATACTCTCACGTGGACTTTTACTTATCAAGATGATTACTGAGAGAAAAATTTTAACACCAAAGGAATGGCTGTTTTTACAACTTAAAATGAATGATTCTGAGATCCGAGATACTTTAGGTCCTAAAAATTATAACAATCTTACTGTTGTTACACTTATCAACAGGATTAATGCTTTTCTCAAAGTAGATTATCTAACCTTAATATTTGATGAGGCGCAAATCCTATGTAGATCTGAATATGGAGAATATCAAGGAAGTTCAATTAATGGTAAAAGATGGAATCTTTTGCAGGGTTACATTGTACATCTCACTCAACTTCCCGTTACCTGCCTTCTTGTTGGCACTTACATGCATATGGCGAGCGGAATTTCTCTCGTCACTAGTGTTGGAAAAGTTTCAAATTTGTATGCTCATATTGTGCTAAAGCTTCCCTTCCTCTCACACGATGATGTCCTGCGGAACCTTGATGCCGTAATTGACCTGACAGATGTTACGCCTGAGATTCGCGACTACTTGGGGTATGTTCTCAGGGGACGGCCTCGAAACTGTGCATCATTTGTTCGGCTGTTGATAGCAGAGCAGAGATCGAATGATAGAACGAAAGACCAAGTGAT